AACACAGACAGACATATACACATAACTGCCGGGTGTATCAGAGCACGCATCGCAGTGCTGTGGGTTTGCCTTTTGGGTTCGCGAGACGGGGTGGATTCATGCCGGAACGCGTAGGCCACCCAGCAGCACAGGGACGTGCAACACAGAAGGCATCGGTGTTTGCAGACACTAACGTCTTCACACTACATGCCAGAAACTTGCGAGTTTGCCATCTAGGTTTTACAGTGTAGGGATCGTCCAGAGACTACATCCGTTTACTTCAGATCCGGTCGGAAAATTACGGGAGCTTGACGCCTGTGAGACTCGGGGTAGGCCACGCCGCAGTACACGCATGCACTGCGCACAAGGTATTGCCTACATAGCAGGCGCTAGAGCTTGCGACGGCTGAACTTGGCAGGCTCGCGCCGCGACGCGACGGCGTACTTTCCGGATGATCCCGTACGCAAACGCACAAATCGGTTGTTCAAACACCCGGCACATAAGAGACACATCCATAACATGCATCATAACATGTGTTACATACATTACGTACATCACATCTACAGAGAGAGAGGGGGGGGGGCGCTGCTGTGTGAGGCGCCGGCGCCAGCGGGCGCGCCGCCGAGCTTGTCCTGGGTGGACTGTGAGCTAGGAGGGGGTGGGGGAGAAGGGGTGCGACTTGCGTCTTGGAGGTGGAGGAGCCTCCTCCCCTCCACCCGCCCCGCCGCACCAACCACCGGCCCAGGGTGCACGTTCCCTCCGGCCCCGACAGGAACACGTGGTCTGCATGGAGAAACAAAGGGAGGCCGCCTCCGCAGCAGCAGCAGCAGCAGCAGCAGCAGCAGCAGCACCTGACGGCCCCTGACGGCCCTGCTGGGCACAGCCGTCGGATTCTGTTTGCGATTGGGGGCCGGGCCGGGGCCCCAAAGTCAGACCCCCTCTTTTGTGGTGTGCAGAGGGGTCCTATGTGTACCGCACGCGAGGGCAAGGGTTGCCTATCCATCCGCTCGGGTCGGGAACACGACGAGGAAGACAGGCGGCACGAGATTACTGTTTACAAGTTCAACACGGTGTGGTGGGTGCGGCGTGACCTCCAGCGTGACCCACACCACCATCCATGGGTCCCAATTACATGGGATTGCCTACCCCCGCCGTACTCAACGTGTTAAAAACAACGACAAAAGAAATCAAAGATTGTGGGCCATCCAATATTTTGTGATTTTGTGCCAGGGGCTGGAGGCTGGAGATGGTGAAAAACCAATTTACAAATCAAGCACAAATCAAGCACAATATCATAGAAACCTGTTTTCTGCCTGCGAGGGGCCACGTGGGGGAGGGAAAACAAGTCTTTTCTACCTGATTGTATGAGGGGCGTCGTCCCGTGGGGGCTCCGTCGGGGGGCTGCCTAGGAACACCAGCTGGCACCACCGCCGCCGTGCTCCGTGTGGCCGCCCCGCCCGCCGCACAGTACGCCAGCCTACTTCAATAAAAAGACTATTTAAAGGACTGGACATTTTCGGTCCGGTCGGCCGCGCTAGGCACTGCAACGGCACAGCATCGAGCAAGCTTGATCGAGGATCGAGCACGCGCCAGGCACCAGAGCACGAAGAAGTCTCGAGGGCGTCAACTATGGCTAAATTCATCACGAAACAGTCGCAATTTAGGCTAAAACTGCGTCATTTGCACTATCAATACGTGCTGTACGATTCCGATGAACATTAACTTAAAACAGAAGTCTAGGTTGCATTTTACAGAAATCGTCATTGTCTTTGGATACCATCTAAATCGAAATATTACTTATCCCAAGTTTTTAAAATAATGATTCAAAGCTAGTATAGAACATTCATTTATTTTAACATAGCTAGTACAAGATAACAACTAAAAATAGGTCAATCATAAGATTATCAGAAATTTGAAATAGACAATAAAAATGTAGAAGAAAAAAGTTCATGAAAATTCACAACCTATGATTTTTCAAAACTATATTGAACAGCTAAAACAGGTAAAACAAAAACAAACATTATTCTCAATGAGAAATTAGTTGGTTTTATACTGTTGAAGAAAACTAATAAGAAAAGCATAAGTATTAAACACTGAGAAGTAGAAAAGTTACAACTGATCATCCAGCGACGCAAACGAATTCAAATTTCCATCCCTAAAAATTTTAGGTGTAACAACAACTACCCTCTTCAAGGAGTTTAAATTCTTTTCAGATTGTAAGTATATGGTCTCCTCATTTTTGTTAGAATCGAATGTCCAACCTTCACCATCTATTTTTGTTTTCAAAAGCGCATTTCTAGATTCTACATTTTCTACAATTGTCTTTTTCTCATAATTCTGCAGCTGCACTTTTAAATTGTAATTCTCTAACAAGACTGTCTCATGAACTTCTAATTGTTTCTTCAAAGAAAGATGTTCTTTGGATAGAGACTCAACCTCTTGTATCTTCTTATCCAACAGCTGGTGCTTCTTCACTAATTCTGATAAAGCAGCCACAAGCCTTTCTTCATAAGTCCGTTCATTTCCAGTAAGAAAACTTTGTACATCTTCAACATCTTCTGAGAGCCTGGTTTGAAAACGAGATTTTGGCATTGACACGACTATTGTGTGGCCCTTACCAGAAAGAGGTAAGGTACATTGAAGTGTTGACTGTCGCTCAGATTTTGCAGAACTATTTGGATCCTCAAAAGGCATGGAAGGAGTTGATTGCAATGAACCACTACAGGAACTGAACCGATTTAGAGGATTAACAGAGTCAATGACCACAGAGTGCATACCAGGGTCATTGAGATTTCGAGGTGGGTGGGAAAACAAAGTGACGACCTTATTTGCTTTCAAGTCTGGAGCTAGAGGATCTCTTTCATCACAGCTAATATCTGGACTTCCAGCTTTTTCTTCAGATGAAGAATCCGAATGTGCTGATGGAGGCTGTAAGTCTATTGACGAGGGTTCAGAAGCTTGACTTCCCTTTACTAAAGGGAAGTCCAGTTTAATAAGTTTGGGCGAAAAATCAGGGTCAGTGGGGTTTGGGGGCAACAAAGAGGACTGGGTTTTAATTACTGGACGATTTCGGCCCCGCACAAATCTTCCTGGTGTAGCTCTTACTCTGTCCAGAGCTTCATTAATTCCTTCTGGGTCTAGAACGTTGGGTATTCCTGACCACTTCAGCTTCCTCGAACCATCAACCCGAACTTTTTCCCATTGGTCTGGACCAAAGTGAAGCTGTGCAAACAAAATCACAGTTAAAACTAGAAACAGGACAACAATATAGCTGTAACAAAACACCATTCTCACCTCACAAACAAATTGATTATTTGTTGGCTCCATTCCATTATTTCTCAAACTACGAAGCCATGCAGATCTTCTCTCTGGGTCTTTAGGATAGCACAGAAGGCTCAAGCCCTGTCTGTGTGTACTATTACAGCCAGGAACAGAGCAACGATGAGGCATCCTCTGAGGAATAACATCAGAAGTAAATTAAAGAAAAGCACAGATGAGGGTGGTAAATGTTATCTGACGGGGTAGAAAGGTGATAAAATTTACCAGTGCTCTTAGAGGAGCAAGGGGGTGATTTGATCTAGGTTAAAGAGGTGAAGCAGACTCTTTAAGCGACGCAGTATATTGAACACGGCAGACTAACGGGTACGAGCACCTCTCACAAGATCAAGATAAGTAAAGTACAGGCAGTGTATATCTTTTCATCAAAGTTCTCTTTCTTTAGACTTTCCCAAGGCTTGCATGTCGTCTGTTTGTCTGTCAACCAAGTTTTGCATGTTTACGTCGCCATGTTATTTGACGCCAACGCTGCCAGCCAACATTTAGTATTTCAAAATCTTTCATAAAAATCGGGGTGATGATTTTGTTGTCTTACAGTTTTTAAACAGCATTTTATTTTAAATGAGTTTTGAAAAACAGATACATCAATCTGGTGTAATGATACCTTCGTATTCTGTTCACTGTTTGTGTTGTGAGGTTGCCTTAACTGCTCATGACACACTTTCTTCCAAAACACTGGCCGCTAACGACGGTCACACAACAACAAATCCCGCAGCCAGACGTTGTAAACAAAAATTCAAGCTGCATCTTTGAACGTCTGCAGCATCTGCAAAAGTAACTTGGAATTCATTCGGAAATACAGAATGTATTTCTTTTATGTTTTTTAAAAAACCAAACTGAATGCTTGGTAAAACTTAGACACTGTTTTTATTTAATTAATCTTATATGAAAATTCCTTCAAATTTGGGGAAACTTCTAGTTATAATCTCTGTCATTCTGCAGAACATGTTGGAAATGCTCTGGTGCCTCTATTGGTGTTTGCTGCGGTGCCGTCTGCACCTGACTCATCACTCCTATCCGATGAACTAAGCGACTCCCCAAGATACATGCACATGCCATCACTCATGGAAGATGAGGCTGTGGAACGCTCTGATTCATTTTACAGACCAGCCATGACAGCTCAAGAAAAAGAAGCTTTTTATAAACCAATTGCTAGGCCATCAGCAAGAGATGCAAAGAAATCAAACAAAGTACGGTGAAAGTTCTATAAGTTAGGACGTATGTAGTTAATTTAATTTTTAACAATAAAGTTTATGGTGTTGGTTTTCTTTGTTTTGTTTTTAAAAACATATAGTCACATGTGCGTTGTAGCAGTACTGATACTGTACTAGAGCATAGCCATGGCAATAGAGTCAGCAGACCACATAGGAAGAAAAACAGTAACAGAAGTAAAAGTGAATCTTGTAAGCATGCTTGCAGACATCGCAGGGCTAAGTCAGAACATGTCATTGACAAAAACTTACAGTAAGTATTTTTTGCCACCTTTCAGATTTTTTCATTGATAAAAATCTTATGGAATTGTTGCATTTATTTTCAGGGACAATAAGTGGTCCAAAACTGTGCCTTCAAATGAAGTCAGTATCCAAGATGCATCTCATGCCTCCCAACCAGATAGAAGTGTTGCCACTGATTCAGGATATCATCAAAGTAACTATGTTATTCATTTCTGATGTTTTATAATAATTAAATCAAGCCATGTATTTTTTAAATAAATGATAACTAAATCTTCTGTCTCTGTCTTGTAACATTAAAAAATTTATCACTAGCTATTACAGATGATACCTCAGCACTGAGGCAGCACTGGGCTGAGTTGCAATCCATGAAAATCAAATGCGAACATCTTGAGTCTGAGCGTAATGCTCTTCAGGATGCCCTAGCCGATGCTCTCAGTCAGCTTCAAGAGAAACAAGCTGGAAATGCTGAAGTTTGTTCCTTACGCAAGCAAAATAGCCAACTTGAAGAAGATGTTCTGCTTTTGAAGAGCACTGTCTATAGGTACTGAAGTTTACTGACTGTTTTAAAATTTACTGACCATTAAATTTTGCTGTGCAATCATAGGTAAAATCTTAACATTTTCTAGGCTTAATGCAGAACTTGAAAAGTATCAAAATCGCCTTAGGGCTCTGCGGAAAGCGCATGAAGCAGCAGGACATGTTGTTTCTAAGCTTGATGCATCTGAAACTGAAGTTAAACCCACTCCAATGGCATCAAATATGCTTGGTCCTTTGCTGGAGGCTTATCAAGAAACCATTTTGGAAAAAGAATCAGCCCTAGAATTGTCCAATCGTGAACTTTCAACTTCTACTCAGCAATGTCAGAGTGCAAAGCAGGAAGTTAGAGAATTAAAGAGAAGGCTGGAGAGTTCTACGCAAGTTAAGGTATTATTTTCAGAAACTGATCTCATTCCTGAAATTTGATTGCATTTTGTACTGAGCATTACTGTATTTATGTTACTGTAGAATGAAGAACTGTCAGACCTACAGGAGAAACTGGAAGAAGCTCAAACCAGAAGTGATTCACTTCTTCAAAATCTTGAGTCTGAAAGGTCAAGGCTTCAAGAAATACAACGCCAGCATCAGCAAGAAGGTGATAATTATTTGTTTTTCTTTCATAATTTAATTAAAATTTAAGACTTGTGGAAATCAACATTATCAAATAATTGTTGAATACAGTGTCACTTTTGGATGGAAGAGCTAGAGGACTGGAAGCTAAGCTTAATGAATGCCATACTGAACTACTGACCTTACGAGGGCGTTACAGTGTTCTCTCTGAACAGTTTGAGAGATTGCAGCAAGGGGCAGATCGCTTGATTCCCCTCTCTGTTCACAATTCTGCAGTTAATGAATGCAAAAGGTTAAATCTCAAATTATAAATTATCTTTTTCCCAGTACTTTATTTCATAATAGTAGTGAATATACATACTATTATTATTATTATTGCAGA